AGCGAGTGTCGGATGGCTAGCGAGAAGAGGAGGGGACCTAGGGGGTCTCCTTGCCGTACCCCCTCCGAGGAGGTGATCACAGTCCCATCGTACATGACTAGTGCCGAGGGCTCGTCGTATGCCCATTTGGCTGGTTTGTAGAACTCCGGGGCGTACATGATTGTTGCAGCCGAGACAGCCTTTCGGGAGACTGAGTTGAAGGCGTTTTGGAAGTCGGCAGAGCACACGTGTGTGTATCCCTTGAGGTTGCCGTCAACTGCGTGCCTGAGAAGGTGTACAATCGGTTCGACGCCTCCTGGGCTCTGGACTCCTAGCTGGAAGGGTGCAAGCTGGTCTGTTGCGAACTGTTTCCGCAGTAGGACTTTTGCAACCAGCCTGTAGATCAGTTCTCCGACCGCAATAGGTCTCACCCCGCCATCTTCCTTATCGAGGGTCACAAGTCGGGATGCTGTCAGCAATTGGCTACCCGGTGCCGTGCCGTTCTGGATCTGTTTGCAGAGCTGGACGAGGAATTCCACCACTTGCTTTCTCGTGCAGGCTTCTTGCAGCAGCGGCACCGACCAGCCAGACAGTCCTGCAGCCGTGTCTCTTGGAAAGGTAGCTAGGGCTTGGTGTATGTCCTCGGCTGTAGGTCGTGGTCCGGCTATGGTGGCTGGCTCGAGGACACTCCGATGAGATTTGAAGCTTGACGACATCCTAGAATTCTGTCAGGGCTATCCAAATCCTCTGCGATGATGCCGTTCTCGAATACAGCGATGTTGTCCCGGAAGCTGCAGAGTTTGCTTCTGTTACCGCGCTGAACCACAATGTTGTGCCATCTGCTTTCCGAGTACTTGCGTCTCCTAGACCGTGTATGTTGGTTCCGGCGAAGCCAAAAGCGACGAACCCACCTGCTCCTCTATCGCATCTTCTTAGAATCAGGATTGTGCAAGACAAGACCCACATTAGACGACGAAGGGGTTCCAATAGAATTCGTCGAGTGATTGGAAACCAATCCCAATCATGGTGTCTTGAACAAGGAAGAGAAGAAAAGCGCTTGTGTTTCTTGTACATCGACAAGCACAGACTGTCGTAAGGCACAGTGTGAATGACTTGGCTCAGACACCACTTTTATCTCACATCGGTGCTTTCATTCAAGTATACGAAAATGAGGGCATATCCAGCTTGGGCAGCAAGAAAACCCCGCGAAGCGATTAAAGTATCATATAAGTCTAGTGACTAAAACATGCAGTTAGTTACTCGAATCCTTGAATACGATGCTATCCATCTAAGCGACGCCATGATTGTATGTTTGGACTAAAGACTCTTTGATGGCTTTGACTAGCGCAAGAACTTTTTCTTCTTGCAGTCGCCAGCACATGACCTGAAGTCCTACGGGAAGTTTTTGACTATGATCGACAGAGACTAGTATCATTCTGTTAGTCTTGGGCTTGCGTGGAGCGCGACGAACATGACTGACACTCATCTGACTCAATGTCAAACACAGATCCTCGACCTGTGACTGGGAAAGTGCAAGACGGAAGGTCCAGCGCGTTGGCCACCGCCGTGTATCCTGTTCGGGTTGGTAAGCGCGGTGGCGAAAAGTGATGATGTTCTCCATTCTCACCAAAGTATCGATCCGTCCCTTCCTGCGTAACAGCATGCGGCGATACGGGTAGTATGACTCCATCTACTGCTCGACCAGAGACTGTCTCAGCACCCTTGGATAACCAATACTGCAAGTAAGAACGCTTGTATTGTTGGATGTCCTCGCATAGTTTCCAGAAATCCTCTGTTGGCAGTGAGCCTGGATCTGCTTGCTGATACCATTCCTTGAGTTGATCAACTGGTGGCTCTCCGCTAGCATCGATTGCGGTGCGAATACATTTGGCAGAGGTCGAGCCAAATATTTGGAACTGAATAGATGCCACATTATCGTATGTTCGTGGCAGATCAAGAGAGACAAACTTACAAGAGTTTCAGTGGCCATCTTGTGTGATGGCGGCTGCCACTCAACAATCTGTGCACGGTTAAGCAGATACCTCCACATGCCACCTGAAGACAGGGGAAGAGTGTCAACTTACCTCGTGACCGCAAAGTTTCAAAGATTGTTCCAAGGTCGCAAGAGCCTGCTTTGTTGGAAGATCGGGAATCAGATGGCCGTCGTCCTTCATCAGCGCGAATACTAGGCTGCCATTCATAAGCGTCGCCCGCTGACGCACGGCATCGAGTTTCTCCTGCCGCCAGGGTATCTCGAGAGCGTCACAATTCGATAACCACGGAGCAGATTCTAGCAGCAGCTGGATGAAATGTTGAATAGACTGAGGATCTCGAGAGATCAGACCAATTGAGCCGGAGCCGACAGGTAATCCTGGTAGCTGTTCATTCATCAACGTATGCCTCACACACCAAATTGGCTTTCTGATACGTACTACACTTTCGATACCATCGGATGGTAGCCTTCCCTCGGAAAGTTTCATCCCATACAGTCCACAAAATGCAGCGGGGATGCGAGTTGATCCAGCTGTTCGCGATCAGCAATCGCAGACAAAGAGAGAGACGTCCATTTTGTCTTGCCCATATCGGTGGTCAGGCCTAATGGCGAGCCCCTGAGTGCAATTAAAGCGCCTTCACCTGTTGGTCTTGTCAGAGCTACCTGTCAATGGACAGCATTCATGGACATACCACCACACGCCCCTCCAGCAGAAAAAATCCTGTTGTAAGGATTGACCGTTGAGCCAACAATATTATTCGTGGTCTCACCAAGCTGGCAATCATTAGCTGACATTGCGACGGGCAAAAATTGTGCACACTACCATCATGCTCATGGGAACGTTGGTCTTGCAAAACACTACAGCACCAAGATGTCGCAGCTTTTGCACTATGGTGCCCTCGTCCTCATTCTTCTTAGGAGATCCGAGCCAACTGATAAAACCACATGCACTCTCAAGACCTGCGATGTTGTATCGATCCATGACACTTATGGGTAGTCCGTGTAACGGTCCCGATACACGACCGTGGAGTCGCCAATAAGCATCCAGGTTCCTCGCATGCTCGCGAGCACTCACGAAATTGATCTCGCTCAAACAATTAGCCTAGCAGCCTCTCTGTCAGTAATTGCCGGCCCAACAAATATCTAGACAGCTCGCTCTCACCAGCTGATGTGCTACTGCTGCTCGATGGCAAAAGGCAGACATGACTTCAAACGATGTCATTTCGCCTGTCGCAATCGAGGTCAGGATGAACGCCACTCCGCTTTCTGTGATCAGTCTCTCGTTGTGACTGAGTTCAGTCGAGACAAGGACCGAGACGTCAGGACACGTCGCGGCATCGGCGATTCGAGATGCGGGCAGTCGCCATTCCGGGGGTATTAAACTCTGCAGAGCTTCTCTCTTGCGATGCGAAATCTCAGTCCAAGACATCAGGGAATTTCGTTAGTGTGATGATGCACAGACGGTACGTTGTCAGAAGATACAGAAGACTCGTTCAGAAGCAGTCCTAGGGAGCTTGGACGTTTCGTCACCCGGCCCCTGTTTAACTGCGCTTACGCCAAGCATGAGATTCACAAAGCGCCTACGATATCGACAAGGAGAATACTCACGAGGAAAGGTTCTAGTGTAAGTGTCCAGATTGGCACGATCCATGGCCGTTTTGTCGCTATAGAGTCCGCATCTGATATCAGTTGCCCAAAATATGCTCACGACTTAGATACACTACTCGTCCAGTCATTCTGTGCTTCCGTCAAATTTTGCATGCAGGAGCAGAAAAGCCTATGGTCCATTTCACTGTGCCCATGATTACCACCAGAAGACAAAGTGACATGCCGACACTCCCAATACCATAACGATAGGCATGGCTTCTGCGCAGACCCTTGAGCTCCAACACCCAGGTGCTTACAGTAGTTAAGCAGCCACAAAACCCATCCTGAATACCCTGCAAGACTGCACATCCAACCAGACCCCCACCCACACTCCTGCTACTACTGGGCAGCGTTATATGTTGTAGGGCATAGCACATCCCTAGCACAAGGGTTCCCATCGTGTTTGCCATGAATGTACCCAGTGGAAAACTCTTGATTTTTCCGTTCAGCCACAATGATAGCCAAAACCGAACAAAGCATCCTGCGGGCGCAAATACCAGAGCGAACAATACCTGACTTCGCCAAGTCTCTTTCGAGCTGTTAGAACGATCGGGTGGGAGAACCGCCATGATGATGGCTCCGATCCAGGCGCCCCAGCCAAAGACGATGGCAAGGCCGTCTAGATGTTTCTCCAGATCGATGCTCGATGCAGAGTCGGCGAACGGATGCAAGAATGTAGCCATGTGCGCTCCACAAGAGAGTGCGCCAAGACTGATTGTGATTTCCACAATCAGCACGCCGAGTACAGCCATGACGCTATATCCATCTGAGCGTACTCTTGGAACCGATGTCACGGTCATTGACGAGATTGATGCTGTGTTGAGATCGTTTGACAAAGCAAGGAAAACATCCCGGATGAATGACGAGAAAGACGTAGAGGACCCGCAGAACCCGACCGTCACGCCGACATAGGCAGGAATCGTTGCCTTCGCGGCCATGAATGATTCAGTGATGCCTTGTTGATCTGAGCCCATTGACTTCTTCTTCTCTCCCAGCGTGCCTCTAGACTCGCGTGGTGTATTTGCGCTCGCCCAGTGCTTTCGGAACAACAGCCTGTCTTCTCGAATGAACCCCATCACGAAGCTGCCTCCAACATTTGCCCACAGCTCCGTGTTAGGAATTGGCGCCCCCGGGTATCGCGTAAGTCCTTGCAATCCCAACCTGGCAAGTGTACCGAGTATCGAAAACAGGACCAGATACGACCAAACGGTGAATTTGACAAACCGCTCCGAAGCAATCACTTTTTCTCCGGCGAGACTCTCCGCAACGCTTTGCTCCGACCCAGTTGGTATGTCTGTCCCCGATGATTGACCATTGGAATTTTCGTATTCTTCCTTCTCCCGCTCATCCTCCAGATTGCTGTGTCTGTAGTTTCGGTCCTCTTCTGGATTTTGATCTGGAGCTGGGTCGGCGAGCTCGTCCAAGTTTTCGTAACCGGTATCTCGTTGATGGGTCGTTTGGCTGGTCCGAGCCTCGTTCGCAGTGCCGCTGGAGTCGTCAGGATTTTGCACAGGTTCTGGCGCCGAGATTTCATCGAGATTCGAATACATGTCGACTTTGCTGGCTTGTGTAGACTTTCGCACAGCAGATCAAAGAAGGACAAGACTTGAGAATTATTCATCCTTGAGCAATACCTTAGTTGAAGTATGGCAACCCCTAATTTACCGATGTCAGCCGCAGCCGCCTGAGCCGAAGCCGCCTGAGCCGAAGCAAGAGAATGCTTGCTACAAATGCCTCCGTCGAAGCCGAGTGTCCTCTTGACAGGTCCTACGTCATATCGATAAACGCATGCAGGACTGACAAAGCATCACCACTCATGAAACATGTTCTCAAGCTAGATTCGAACCTCATGCGATAATTATGGAAGGGGAAACAATTATGTCGGCGTTGGAGAATAACATCCTGAGCTTTCAATCCTCGTGTCTTGATGCGCTCTGCTTTTCGCGAAGTCACCTGAAGTTGCATGGTTTTGGGAGTGTATATTTGCGACAAATTATATTCCTTGCTTTGTGGACAACATTATCCTCCATGTTAACCCGCTTTCCATAGAGCGCGAGCTGGACGATTCAGAGTTCCCCCGTGCACATATTGACTAAGGAGACCGTTATTATTTGTCTCTATCCTCGAGAAATCGTCGTTTGTAAAGAGACGCCTCGTCTCGGTTCTGTACTGGGGAGGGAGCAGAAATCTCGGTAAGACCAGACTGCGAGTCTGGTTCGGCAGACGATGGGTCATGCTTGTTACTGTCAGTAAATTCTAATCAAGAAAGTCAGGTTAGATACTGACTTTGACACCACTGCTGATTTTCCTTGTAAGTCTTGTGAAGAAAGACGAGAATCCACACGGCATGATGAAGGGGCGCAGTGGACTAAGAGATGCTGGTAGTCCAGTGGGTAAAGTATTGATGAGGATTCTGTTTGCGACACGCAGAATGCCAGTGCGGTTTGTAACAACCTCGCAAGCATGTAAAGGCGACACAATAAAGTACAGCAGGTTGTCCATAGGCCGGACAAGTATGAATGCACAGTGACGGCCAGATCAGCGTGGACGGAAAGCGCGGAAACGCTAGTGAGTCTGATAAGCCTAGGACATTCCCGGACTTCGACTTGACCAGTACACTTTTTCTAAAGTAGTGAGAACCTCGATGACGTTCAATTCCGCAACCCCGGACTTGTTGCGCTAAAGTGTTTGTCTTTACAAGAAAACATAAAATCGTATGTCACATGAATCACGCTTGATCGTTGCCCAATCCTCTAACACGCCGCGGGCTTGGGCGGCTCTCCTGATTCATGGAGAAGACGTGCAGACAGCGCTCGACTTGTGTCCCAGTCGATCGATTCCATGAGCGCGTCCATGTTCTGGCACTGGAAGTAAAGCTCCTCGATGGACGGCGGCAGCATCGTGCTGTCCTCAGGCTCGGTCGAATTCAACATCATTTCTGGATTCTTATTCGCATCCCCGATGGTGAATTGTAGCGGGTTTGGACACTCTCTTATAGACCCTGCAGATAGTTGAAATGGCTCAACAGAGTGGTTAGGCCGCGGCGCAATCATCTGCTCGTAGGGGACACTGGTTTCAAAGGTAGTTCCCAACTCTTCCCCCAGAGGATCAATGCAGCGATCTAGATATGTCGGATCACAATAAGATGTGGAGTCGTTGGTCAACGGTAATTCGGTTGAATTAGGAAGACGAGATATCGTGCTTTGCATATGCGAGACAGTTGACTGATCGGTACGCCTTCGCTTGTTGCTAGAGACATGTTGATCGAGGTTCTTTGATGGAGGCACGGGATCCTTGACTTGACAAAGGGGCGCGTACTTGTCGAGAATGGCATTCAGGTCGAAGTACTCGTCCGGTGCGACGGGCACTGGCTGTGCCTCGGGTCCCCTGGCATCGTCATCGTCTGTCCTGCTGTCCCGCTTGGCAGACGGAGATGCTTCGAGGCTGATAATCGTGGCCGACATGCTTTTGATGGCCTCGACAAGACGTGTTTGTTGAGCTTCCAGAGTACATGCCTGCGCTGCCGTCAAGGGCCCTTTCTGGCGTTTCTTTGCTTCTGCGGAATTGAACACGCATACTATGTTTCGCGTCCGGCAGCGACCACATGGGTTCTGACCATTACACTAGACAGTCATGAGTACAGGAAGCTAGGAAAGTGCACACGTGGTACGCTACCTTTATCTTTCGCGCGCGACATTCGTCGCATGCACTTTGAACACGAGTAGGACCGCGAAGATGTTTTGGCGTCGGCTCGGTCGCCTGTGCAGGCTCTTGACCCGGGTTCGTCGTCTCCGGCGCTGGCTGCTGTCTGCGCGATTTTGGAACAATGAGAAACATGTTTCCGTTGCAGAACAAAAGACTGGTCGAGCGACAGGAAGCGCTGACGTGGGAATTTGTCTCAAGCTGAGTCAGCAGCAGCTGCGCTCCCCACAACCCAGCATTTCAGATCACGAGCAACCTCAGAGCTTCTGATTTCTTATTTGTCCAGTTTACTCGTTGCGATGTGGCAGCATCAAACATGAGGGCCTTCAGCAGAACAGCGGTTCTCTTACCCTGGGTATCAGTCATGTTCCTTACCCGTCAACAGCGCGGCACATTCGTAAGGAGCCTACCCGTTGCGTTGTGACTATGCAGCCTGTTGGAGAATAGGATAACAACTTCTTTCGGCATTAACGCTGTTTCATGGATCACAGGGAAGCATCAGAGTGCTATGTTTCACCAATCAATTATCTGTATATTACGCTTCCTCCTCAGGTGGTTTCATCTCTAGTGACTTTTGAGCTCTTTCAATCCTCCGTTGTGTATACTCCACCTCAAACTTAGAAGCGCACGGCGCGAACAACAACTTCCCAGTGAACGCTTCCCTGATCGTATTGACACTCACAACAATCCACAGAGTGACGCAGATAGAGAAGATGGTTGCCAGCACTCGAAACACAAGGCTAGGCAACTCTTCCGCTAGCGTCGCCGTCGCCACCGTGTAGACACCTAGAGGGAATGTGAAGCCCCACCAGCCCATGTTGAATGGAAAGCGAGACCGTGAGATACTCGCAAGGGCAAAGAACAACAACAGTAAGCCGAATCCCCAAAGCACGAGAGCAATGGCAAAACCAAGCGTGTAGAAGATTGGTCCAGATTCAGGTATCAATGTCCTAGTCTCGGGCAGGACCCTAGCCGCAACCTTACCAAGCTGCATGAGTGCGAAACTTCCTTGGCCAATGGGTCCGAGAGGTAGGAAGACCGACACGATGACCTCTCGTGGCGGAATATTGTGTATAGTCAAACGATGTAGATAGATGACGAGAACCATCATCGCAAGCAGAAAACCCATGCCCCAGATGATATAAGATATCACCATGGTCCAGAGGGCGTACCGAGTGTTAGTCAACACCTCTGCTACAATTCCTCCGGTGGCAGCTGCGACGATGGGAGAAACGACTGGTAGCAGCCACGCAGCCGTCATCGTCTTGAATTCACCACCGTGCTCGTACATGATGAGAAACGGGAGGCCCATGCAAATGGCGATCGAAAGAACAGCGTCAAACCACCATAATGACCATGCTAGGATGGTAGCCCAGTGACCCAAAGTGGGACGCAAACAAAAACAATCATGTTGATGATGGTTGCAAGGCCCATAGGTACCGTACCTGCCGCTCGTTAGTGTTTGATGCTGCGCAGCACAGAACTTTGAGACTAACCTAAAAACAGTGATTGAACAGGATGCTGAAGCATAGCCTTGAGAAGCCCATTGAAGTAGATGTATCGAACGACACTAATGGTCATAAAGATGATGAAGAGAAGAATGTTCAGACAGAAGATGACGACCGAGATCCAATAAAGCCAGCGGCCATTGTACGGCAGATTATGAAGCAGGGTGGACACAATGCCTGTGCCCATGTTGACCGAGAACCACGACGGCGTGAAGTTGAGTGCGACTCTTCTCCATCCTTTCTGGTTCTTCGCATGTATGTTTTGCTTTAGCTCTTCTCCAGCGTGTTGTGGATCGTGGCAGCTTTTTCCAGGCGCATCTGCACCGGAAACTCGACATTCTGCAAATGTAGCCGAGGGATCCATTCGTGAAATTGTTAAGTGAGAGAAGCAGGGTGCGAACTGACCAGGGATCTGTACATTTGTTAACCTGCAGAATAAGGATACGGGGTTTACGGATCGTACGGCTTGGGATCAAAAAATGGAGATCGTCCGTCCGTTCTGCCAACTCATGCATCCGCATGTGCCGCCTTCAAGGCCCATTTTGCTGTGGAGATCAGCCGCGGATTCCGTATGTTTTCATGAAAGCCTAACGATTTGTTCGTTGCCTAACTTGCGGGTAGCATGATCGATCACGTCATGCAATGCTGTATGATCCCCAGATGCTGTCGTAAACGCATCGCACTTTGCTGGACTTCCACAAAGCTCGATTCTATTTACCATGCCGCCTCGAACTTACCTCATTCGTCACGCAAAGGGCTACCATCAGCTCGAGCCCACTTCCAAGAACGAGCTCCGCTATGATACAGACTTGACAACAGCCGGTGTCACAAGATGCGAAGAACTCGCCTTGAACATTACCGATTACACACACAAGATGCCAACTACAGGACAACACAAGACTCAGGATATGGGAGGCATCTCTAAGCAGCGTGCTAGCAAAGCTTGCAACCGCTGTCGAGCCAAGAAGTCGAGGTGTTCTGGAGGATACCCGTGCTCGAAATGCAAGTCTTCAGATGCTCCATGCATATTTGGATATCCCAATGAATCGAAACGTAAAGTTTTTTCCGAGCAGTAAGTCGAAACGTCTGCTTATCGATTTATTCTGTTTACTGAGATCCCAAGTTATGTGCGAACATTGGAAACGCAACAATTCAAGCTTGTGGCCGGTCTACAAACGATGTATTTTTTGCTTCTGGCCACAAACTCATGGCCAGGCAAGAAACTTCCTGAACGCAAAGGCAACCCACTTGTTCATGACCTGCTGGATCGTCTTGGTCTACTTGAGACTGGAAAAAACGGCACAGATCATGAGGGATCTGGAAGAAGACGAGGACGAATCCGACACATCTCAGAATGTCACTAGCCCAGCATCGACTACAGAAAGCCCAAAAAGATCGCAGAATGACATCCGCCGTGCAACCGAGCCTCGATCTGGGGACTTGTCTGCCTCACCACCGCGCAGTGCATCGCAGCAGCAGTTGTGCTCGGATGGTAGCGCTAATAGACTTATCGCGCAACCCTGGCAGGATCGGATGGGAGATCTCAAAGTCTCATCGACATGCTTGTGTTAGCGACTTCGTGCGTCGAAGCCACGGTCTACTTATTCCCTCGATGCACAACATGAGATCCGCGCACTCGTAAACTCAGCGCTCGAGTAGATACTAGTATCGCCTTATGCCTGCCATATATTTGTTGGAGGTTAGTCAGTCACATTTGTAGGCAGTGACACTAACATGATTGGATAATTGCGAAAACCATTACGCAAAGCAGTTTCGTAAGATGTAATCTTGCTATCTGAATTTCTATAGAGATCATACAGAGAGATTTGAGCAAACTGTTTCACCTATAGAATCACTATATCTCCTACGTCGTGGCATTGATCACACAGTATCTAAAGTCATGTGATCCTTACTGTAGAGAGGTATTCGTGACGTAGGTCGTTTGGTGTTTCGACAGCCTAGCAAGCACAAACATGCACGATGCCGATCTTGGGGCTTTCGCAGCTGGAGCTGTGAAGAGATGCTCTAAGACATGACATGAGTTGTGCAGATAATGCCTTACATGCCAACTAGCCATGTAGATAAGAAGACATCGACTTCACGGCGTTAAGATCTAGGAGAAACATCTATAATCTTAAGATCTTTTTAATACATCCATGCCCATAGCTGGCACGGGATGGTCTAATCCATGACCATGCCATCTGTTTATTACAGAACGTCTGGATATCTGTCCCGCAGATATACGCTATCACAGGCAGGAATTTACACTCTCCGTGACAACCTTGACAAGACTCTAGAAGCAGGACTTAGTCCCTATTTGACCGATCTTCCAACGTAGTACATCTGACAAAGAGAACAAGATGGAAACTAGACCTCGTTACCGTATCCCTCGGACTGTAACCTCTTAAGACTCAAATGTATACCGGTAGAACTAATGACTCTATAGAAAGAATTCCAGGTTTTACTTCGAGTTTTGAGATCTGGAAATGCAATTAACGGCATGTCGGAGGCATTCAAACAACAAGTACAGATAGGAAGTAGTATTGAATCTAAGGATGAGCAATTTAAGCACTTTTTAACCCTTTGCATAGAGAAAGAACTAGATTAGGCTAGTCGTTAGATGCATTAGACATCCTGAGATCGCGTCTGCGAGATGCAAAAGCAACAACGTAACGAGTATAGTTGACGTACCCTAGCTAATAGGACACTTAGGGGGCAGCCGCCCCCAGGTCGGATTCGGTTAGTGCGGGGACGACTCTAGGCGTGCCGGGTAATTTTGCAGTGGCCCCCACACACAGCCCCCAGCTTACCAAAATTCGCGACGACGACGTGTCGCGTCTTTGCAAACAATCTGTAGCACTCCTTTTACTGTTTGTGCATCGACTGCAAGTGATTGCAACAACAACTTCTGTGTATTTGCGTATTAGAGACACTAGGGTATAAAGTGAGCAACCCAGCTAAGCATCGCATGGCTTCGATCGTGCGCTGGAACATACACGACACCGCGCAAACTGCAACACACCGTGTACCCGGAGCAAGAAGTATGCCGAACAACAAGTCAGATTCGTATCCCACCCCGATGGTCAAGTTCAGAATTACTATTGACAATGCCGACGATTGGCTACAATACGAGTCACAGTACAAAGTACTTGTTTGTAAACATCACTGCTATGCTATATCGAATCTTGCTAGTCATCTACGCACTGAACACAGCGGGACTTCAAAGGAAAAAGCAGCCGTCGTCAGGAAATACTCTCATCTACAGATCTTAAACCGGACACAGGTACAGTTGCCGCCGCCGCTAGAGCCGCCGATTTAGTCACTTGGCAGACCGCGAGATGCATTTATTTGTGACGAGGAGGAGTGTGGTTTTGTCACTGTCAGTCGGGATGAGATTCGCAAGCACTGCAATAAAAAGCATGAATGGCGGTCGACAAAACAAGATCGAGAGCATTGGCATCATGTCTTTGTACAATCTTTTATATCGACTGGTGGCCGACAACGGTACTTCACTGTTGACTATGAGGAAGACATCCCCGTAGACGACACAGATGTCTTCCATGACAATCAAAGAACCGCTGTTAGAACAAGACAACTGCGCGATTTCGACACTTCTCTAACCTTGGACGAATGGGATATAGCAAATACACAGCACGACAGAGAGCTTGAGGTCATCGACGGAAATATCGCAAAAACAGATCACTCGCTTTGATCTAAGCGTACCGGATACCCGCAGCATCTTGCTGGAAGCAACTACAAACATCTCTCGAACGGAAGTCGTCTTGCCGACAAAGATGAACAAGAACTGCAGCACATTTCAAGACT